GTTTTTCCCCAAACATTATTTTGGAAGTAGAGTTTGTTCACTTTGTGAATACAAAAGTATCTGCAAGATTTCCCTTACTATTAACAAAATATTAGTATTAATATTTGTGTTGTTGTTACTATTGTTATTGTTAATTAAAAGTATTCTAATGTTAAATATACTTCCACACTAACATAAAATTAATATTAATTATATTTACACACATTTCCTTGAACTCTCAAATTACATACAGAGTATATTTTCTTTGATTTAACAAGCATCACAAAATGAACAAAATAACAAACTAAGTCATAAAAGCAGCTTTGGGTACTCACATCTTCGTTAGTGGTAAGATTGGAAGCAACCAGGTATGTATGGAAGCCTGAGAGGCCCAAAATGGACCAAACTGAAAAGAAACATATCACCAGCTCCACTGCAGTGAAAGACTGAGTCAAGGAAAGCAAAGTTATCAAAACACTGGTTACATAGGAAAAAACAAAAGACTTGAAAATTGTGCCAAATTTGTTTCACTGGCACAATGCAAGAAATATATAAGACATAACAACAGCTAATCAACTAAAATATCCCCATTTGGGCACTGGATATTTGCCAAATTGTTATTTAGAACCTGATATCAGCCCAGAAAGCCTCAGTCTAACTTCACTACGGATTACAGTAATTTTTGTTTCCTAATATAAAGTGAAGAAAAACACGGTTAAAAACAGTACAAATAAGAAAAATTATCACAGATGGCAATGGTGTCTATGTATATGTTATATATACATATGCAAGCTGACTGATTTTCATCCGACTTCTGTCACTGACTGTGTTTTTTGAGTAAAAAAATCGTATTCGGTACAGGATATCTCCCCGGACTCTCCTGAAGCGCAAACACTAGGCCCTTCCCGCCCTGAGCTCCTGAAAAAGAGGAAAGTGGACAGGATTTCAAGATGACATAAAATTTAATTTGTGTGGGAAATGACCGACCGAGCTGATCCACGTATGTGGCTTTTGTCAGACATTAAACTGCTCTGCTGTTGTGAACCATGCCTGGCAGTCCGAATGAAACAAAACAAACAAGCAGGCGCTATTTGAAGCCGGCTACTTCCCAAGCATGAAACACCTGCAGATCAGAGCAAAACCACATACTCAGTGCTAGGTGTGTGGTCACACAGCCGAAGATGAACGCCGTCAAGAAGGAGAGCGACACGATGAAGGTGTAGAAAAACCGGTAGTTACGTTTCCCTACACAGTTCCCAACCCAGGGGCAGTGATGGTCGAATCTCTCTGAAAGACAGTGATCAACTCACATTTTAGGAATGTTAAAAAAAACAAAAACTCTAGAGCACTGAGCTATATAAAAGCGCGCTCTCTGCAGCTCTGTGAAGCCTCTTTTTATTATTTATGGGTTGTAAATGTCAGTGTCGCTGTGTGTTCACAGCTCACCCACACAGTTGTCACACAGGCTGCAGTGGGAGGTGCGCGGAGGGCGGAACATCTTGCAGGTGAAGCAGTACTTGAGCTTCACCACCTGCTGATTGATTAGCACTTCCTTGGTGCGAGGCGGAGGTCGATAGCTGGTGTTTCCAGTGTTGTCTACAGAGAAGAACAGTGAAAATAGGGACACAGTGTTGTGCTTTAAATCTAAGGTAGGTGTGCAGTTATTGCTGCAGTAAGCATCCGGTTCCCACTTCCATCAAAGTCATGGCAGCAAACTTACAAGTGTCACATTCACACGATAAAAGTGTGAATGGATACCATCACATTATCAGCAATGGTGCACATCATTAGGGCTGCACGCATCTCTGTTCAGTACTTTGAGCTTCTCATTAAAAACCTTTTGAAGATTGCTCTAAAAGATCATTTCAAAAAGTTTTCCCTCGATCACTGCTACAGACTTGAACCCACAGGGGAAGGGGGGAGTGCACCCTGGACAGGTGGCCAGTGTGTCGCAGGGCTAGAACATGGAGCCAAACATTCATACTCATATTCAAACCTACAGTCAATTTTGAAACACAAATGAACCTGAACACTGCTCGTGTGTATGGGCAGTTTGAAGAACCTGGAGTGCCTGGACAGTCTCCATGCACACAAAACAGGGATTTACACATTTGCATTTCAAACTTCAATCCCCACACCTCTCATTGACTTTAAACACAGTGCACAACTAAACTGTGAATCTGGACTTTTGTTTTGCTTTCAGTGCTTGCACTTAAAAGTTGAGAAAGTTCTCCAATGCCAGCACCATGACAGCCAATCAAATCCATCCATCACATCATGTTATTTAAATATGAAGGAAGTTGATGCTTGTGTAATTCAGCATCAAAATGGAGAACATTAGCAACAGGCAGTTAGTGTGACTCATGCTAAGTGATCATCAAAGCTCAGTTAGCTTGCCTTGTTAATGGCTGGCTGTTACTGCTTTGACTATCCCACCAGCAAAGACACCCCAGATGTCAGGCACTCCCACTGTCAATCAATGAA